GTCCTTAGCGGGCGGAGGTGAGCGCAGAGGGTGGTCGGGGCTTCGGCTGCAGGCGCCCTGTGCGCAGCGGCCGTAACACGAGCCCGTTAGAATGTGGAGGGACCGCACGGGATGGAGCCACTGGCACGTGAGAACGTACGATGAGAGTCTTGTACGGTACCTCTGTAAGTTGTCTCTGCAAATTATCTTTTCTTTTCGGCACTGGTGACTTTGTGCAAATCTGCGGTGGCTTTCAGTGACGGAGAGGGAAAGGGTCATTGCTGCACTTTTGCGTAGCATGTGTTCAGTGGGTGCAGTGCTAAACCCAGCTTAAATCACGGGAAAGGGGTCAGAAATGTAAAAAGCTGGGATATTTGAGCTATGTTGGTACTGAAGAGTTAACCTCAGGAAAATGTGGCAGGGGTTTTTCTGGATCTGCTCAGCTCTCTGTGTTTGTGGTCAAGTAGTAGTGGATCTTGGTTTTGTGTTGGGTTTTTTTTATGTCATGGAAGACACTTCAGGATTTTCTTTCTTTGATTTTTTAGCTCTGTCAACTTCCTTGGACATTGGGCTGAGTAACTGGAGCTTCCTATACGTCACTGTCTCCCTGTGAGTACAAACACCATCTTCCCTGGGAGCCCTTGGTGGGGTTTAGCAGGTGGTTTGTCAGGGTCAGTTTCTTCAATGGGTGTATGGCTTAGTGGGGCTGACAGGCAGGGTCTATGATACATTACTGGTAGCAATATAGAAGTGGATGATCTGGTTCCTAGTAGTACTTCGCTGGGAAGGACTACGTTGGAGGAGTCTGACTGTGTATTTTGGTCCTTACAGCTACACGATGACCAAATCCTCTGCCGTTCTCTTCATCCTGCTTTTTTCACTGCTCTTCAAGCTGGAGGAAGTGGTAAGGGTCCTATGCAGTGTTTTAGGGAGAGAGATGGTCTGGCCCAGGGAAAAAAAAAAAAGAGGCAGTACATGTACAAGAAACATATCAGTAGAGGAAGAAAGCAATTACGTGGATTAATCTGAAAGAGAGCAGGTGTCTGTCTCTGTTCAACTCCAGGAGTCTGTAGTGACTTTGTGTTTGCTCTCATCCAGAGGGTGGCATTGGTGCTGGTGGTTCTGCTCATCGCTGGGGGGCTCTTCATGTTCACCTACAAGTCCACACAGTTCAACGCACAGGGGTTCGTGCTGGTGCTGTGTGCCTCTTTCCTTGGGGGTATTCGCTGGACTCTCACGCAGATACTTATGCAAAAGGCTGAACTGGGTATGTAGGGTGTTAGGAAGCGGGTGGTGATGCTGGTAGCGGGGAGGGAAGTAAGGAGGTTGTAGCCCTTGCTGAAGAAACAGACATCTTGTGTAAGGGACAGTGTGTGGAACCTGGGGCAGGGGTCATTTGTTGATGGGTAATGAAGGCAGCTTGGCTGCTGCAGCAGCACAGGTGTGGGCATTACAAATAAGGTATATGTCTAGGAATGTTACTAATAAAGGCTCTAGGAGCTATGTTACTCCCTGGCTTGTTGCTACCTGGTCTGTTGTTGATTCTCCTCTTTCAGGGCTCCAGAACCCCATTGATATCATGTTTCACCTGCAGCCGCTCATGTTCCTGGGGCTCTTCCCACTCTTTGCGGTGTTTGAGGGTGCGTGAGTTAATTAGAGAAAGCAGGGATAGCTTTGTAGAGTGGTTGGGGAGATTGCTTAGCAGTTTGTTGTTTGATTCATTTGGATAAGCTGTGAACATTACAAAGTAGTTGGAGACCTGAAATTACAAGGACTCAGATATACCTTGTGCTGGTAGAACATTAAAGAGTGTGTAGGAATAGTAGCCTGCCACACTTGTGGAAGTAAGGGCTATTAAGACCTGGCTCCACATCCTCTTGATATTGGAATGTGAGCAGCCCAACCCCATCTTCTTGTGAAGAGTCCTAGGAGTTGGGAACGATACTCTGCTACTCACTGTCTTGTTCCTAGGCCTGCCTTTCTCCATATCAGAGAAGCTCTTCCGTTTCCACGAAGCAGATGTTCTCTCTGGTAGGGAAGCTGTTCTTGGGTGGAATTCTTGCCTTTGGTCTAGGCTTTTCTGAGTTCCTCTTGGTTTCCAGAACATCTAGCCTCACCCTTTCCATTGCTGGCATTTTTAAGGTAAGGCATGATTCCTGGGCTAATACTAGAAGGCAAGTATTGAGTCATCCCTAGCAGGCTTCATGTGGTGGGAACTTCGTTAGAGCCTTAGAAATCATCTCCTGTTATTTTAATTCTCCTTGCACAGGAACTTGTTGCTTTGCCTTGCAGTCTTTGCAGTGAAGTCCCTTGGTCCCTGACAGCAAGAGGCAGAGATTAGTGGCTATAGTCACTTTTTTATAGCACTAGACTAGTTCTATAAAAAATACCATTATGGTCCAAAGTTTAGTGGGATCTGGGATAGGCTAAAATATGTGGGACTCATAAGCAGTGGATGGTGTGGGAGGGAGGAGGGGTAAAAAGGCCGTACTCTTGCATCAGACCTCAGTATGAACAAAACACTGGTTTGAGCCATCTTTTTAACCTAGTTTGGCACATTCTCTCCTCCTTTGAGGAATCCAGCACACACTGAATGAATGAATGAATTTGAGCTGAATGGTAATATGTGAAATTTGTCTGACAGGGAAGTCACAGGATTCCCTGGCAGCCAAGCTTATGCAGAGTTTAAAAGGTCACTCTGTTTCTAGAATCTGTTTTTAGAACTTTGCGCATGGAAGAATGTGCTGATGAAAATGAGCAACCTGGCATCTTGATCTAGGCTCAAGCTGTAAAACATTTCATGCATATCTCCTCAGGTCCTACCCTGCCACTTGTCATGTTTTTTGTTTCCACAGGAAATCTGCATTTTGTTCCTCGCCACACATTTGCTGGGAGACCACCTCAGTCTCTTGAACTGGCTGGGCTTTGCTGTCTGTCTGTCAGGAATCTCCCTTCATGTCATTCTCAAAGCCATGAATTCCAAAGGTGATTCTGTTTCTATTTCTCTGTAGGCATTCTTGTAGCTTCACTAGGAGCTCCCTCTAGCTACAGCTTGCCAGTGCCAGGTTTGATAGGTACTCTAGCAAGTTTATCACTAAATAGGCTGTCTGCACGCAGGTGAAGAAGCACTGAAGCTACACAAAGAGGCCAGCTCTGACCCTGACCTGGAGCTGCTGCTGCGCCATACTGAACATGGTGAGGAGGAGGAAGAGGATGTTGAAACCCCACAACAACACTGACTGAACATGAAGCAAGAAGTCCATTGCTCTGTTCTTACTGAGCCTGCCTGACAACTACCTAGGAGGAAGGTCCAAGAGTCTCTGTCTGTAACCACTCAAAGAAGAGACAGAGCCTGGTGTGAAAGTCCTGCTATTCTTCTACAGTGGGGATTTTAGGTGCTGCACAAGAAACAGGCAATATCCCTTTCACAGAGAGTGAACTTGGACAATGAGCCCTGGTTCAGCGGAAGCAGAATGGCGTGGTGAGACTGGGAAATGCTATAGCAAGCTTATGAGGGAATCCTGAAGGCTGTATATTGAGAGTATAGACCATGAGCTGTAGAATGAGCATGGGCATGTCTAGAGCGCAGGCTGGGTGGTTCAGGGATTATTTTAATGCTTAGGCTTTGACTTCAAAAGAAAAGGTAGATATACCTTCCCATACTTTCTTTATGGTTCTACTGAGAAGGAACTCCCATTCTTGGTGGTAGCAGATGACTATATAAATCCACAGACTTTTCCCAGTGAGAAGGAGCCTTTGTGCCTGGTGACCTCCATGTTCTGTGTGCATAGTAAGGAGAGAATTAAATACTGGTATTTGGGACCAATTGAACATAGCCAAATGATGTTGTCTGGAGGAAGGATAGGGATGCATGTGTACTTCTGGCCCTATAGGCAAAGGGGAGAGAGAGCTGTATCACAGGAAGTATTGCTTGAGCAATAAGCTTATCAGGAAGTATGTGGGTATTTGAGGGGGAGATTTTTCCTTTTTGAAATAAACTTTTTTTTTCTGATTCCCTTTTGTTTGCATATGATGCACCTATGCTTCATCAAGCAGAAGTCGTTTTCTGAACTCCTTTCCTTTTAGACCCACACTGAATTTGCTACTGCATGCCCAGATATTTTTGAGTCCTGGCACACAACATACTTGCCCATGAACAGGATCTTTGATCTCTAAGACTAGGGGGATCTTCCTGTAGCCTGTCACATTTGTGCCATCCAAGAGAGCATACTGGCTTGTCTGTCTTCATGTGTGAACAGGACACTATCCTAAGAAGACTTTTAATATTGTGGCATCTCTTTGCCCCATTGGATTGGATCAGTTAGTGCTGCGGCCTTGTCCAGGAAGGGGGAATGGTGCAGGGTTTATGATGTGTCTTTTTCCTTTCTGCTAAGCCTCAAGTGGCATTGGGCAGGTGGCTGTTTTTTTGCAGAATTTTCACCTCTTTGAAAGTTTTGTTCGATGCTAGTTTTTGGAGTGGAAATAAGTTGAGACAGCTTCCCAAAGGGATAACAGTGCAATCATTCTCCTGAGGGGAGCTGGGTATTAAAGTGAACTTGTATTCTGTTTGAGAACCGAACCATTTTGACTAGACTGTCCCTCTGTTGATCTTGCTTCATAGTTTTCAGATAAGAAGTCTTTCTTGGTGACTTTAATCAAGAGCATGTCCTGCAAAAAACTGGTTCTGAAGAAGAAAACTTTTATTAATAATCATCTTTAATGATGTTCTAATAGACACTGGCAACTTGCTTCAGAGCAGACAGCAGGTGGTGCAGCTACCTCTTGTAAAGCTACCTCTTGCAGCTACCTACTGAACCAGCAGTTCCAGGCCAGGCTGGCACACCAAGGAATCTTGTGCATCAAGGAGGATGCCTGGAGCTGAGAATGGCTTGATCTGTCCCTAGCTGGGTTTTCCGGTAGCTGGGACTTGTGATGCTTCCAGCAGGATTCACCCTGTTTACCCTACTGATAGATGTGAGCCCCAAGCACTAAATACTCAGTACTTGATGTGGGGCAGTGATGCTTTCTGCCCATGATCTGTGTTTAGCAATACTGTAGCTGCTCTTTGCACGTCCCTTTCCACTCTCATAGAACTGAACCTCGGGCATCCTTCTGCTCTGTGACTCAGACAGGGATTTCAGGTCCCTGTAAATCCAAGGTAAAGGTGACTTTGTTGACAGGCCAGGATCTGCACCACATACAGTGCTTGAAGATTAAATTTGATTCTGCCAGTGCAAGCCCTTGTGAACTGTAGAGTCATGTAGTTTGTTGCTTTCAGTCGTGTTTTCCCTTTAAGATAAAGGGGAGGCCCTAGAACTTAGTGTCCACACTTAGCATTTCTGATCTAGACACAACTTTTTGGTGACAAATATGACACTGTCATTCACTCCACTGAAGTATGCTTAGAGCAGCTTTTGGGACAATCAGTGCTGCACTCTTCCCCTGAAAGTTGCCAGCTGCTTACTTCCAAAGATGCTAGGTAGATGTCTGTTTCCTTGTTCAATAAAATTTTGTTCTTTTCAGAGATAAAGAAAAGAGAAACCTGGAAATAAGAACATAAGCATCTACTGCTTCATGATTTTGCTACAGCATAAGGTACAGCTAGTCAGTCCAGTTTGCTTGTGAGATTGACTGGGCATCATTCATCTGTCGTGGAAAGAATCCTATTCTAGTTCTTCCAGTATCTGGATAGGAATGGCAGAGGATCTGTGTCCTATTTCTGCCCATGAATTTAAAAAGCCCTTATGCAGAGCTTGGTGATAATACTTAATTTCTCCTTGAGATTTAGTAGAGGAAGTTCTCCCCCAGCCTTATAAATCCAGGTAGGTATCTTGTGGTGCAAGGAGGTTCATGGTAGGGCATATTCTACAGGTACTTCTGTGACCAGCACAAAGGCCCTAATCCAGCTCATACTGAAGTACTTCTGCTGCTTTTCTGGATCTGCAGTGCTAGGATGGAAAGGTTTTTCACTCAGTGGCAGTTTGGGACTTGTCTTGCAAGGATTCATGGCTAGGACTCTGTTTCAGGGGGGTACACTGTTTGTCTTGCTTTGCATTAGGAAGGTGACACAGCCAAAACTGAGCTGAGTCTGGGACTTAGGAGAGTGGTGTTTTTTGTGATGGTGTTTCCTGTTGAGTTCCAGCTGTGCTGAGTGCAGTTAAGCCTCCTGTGAGGAGTGTGCCTTCCAACAGGACAGGTAGCTGTGCCACTCACCTCCCTTCTCCCAAATGGTGGTCTTGTTGCCAGGAGCCACAACTCCTGAATGCCTGGTTGGGCCTTTCTCACCAGCCTGGCCTCCCAGGGGAGCCATCTCTACCTGCCCTTCCTCCGGACCTTGCCAGGAGCAGAGGCTGCTGCCAGCTTCTGGCTGCTTGCCCAGTGAAAAGTAGCAGAATTGACCATGCGATTGTTAATGAAAATCACAAGCAGGAAGATATAGCCAAGCCCTGTAATTGCACTAATTGGAGCCGTCATCATGAATGTGCAAAGAGCCGCTCTCCTGGTCTCAGTCTAGTAATTCTTCTAACCTCATGTTTCAGTGCCCCCTCCACCACCCTGCACAAGGCAGACCCACCTGCTGCGTGGACGTAACTCACTATTTAAAGGGAGCTGGAAGGTGTTATGTACCTTGTCCTTTGGAGCCACTGCTTTGTTTCTAGATGTTGGAAGCTCTCCAGTGGAACTCCACAGGGAGAGTGAAGTGGAGCTGGTGCCAAGTGTTGGAGACTGTGAGCTGCACAGCACTTTGCTTGCAGCCTTGAATTCTCCCTCTGTATCAGAAGACAAGATGGATCAGCCTAGGCCAAGCAGGAGCTTCCTGGACTCTGAGAGTAAGGGAGTAAGGAAAGCAAGTGTTCAGCTGTCTTGAATGGCAGGGTCTGGAGAGGCAGCAAAGTGTGTATTGGGAGGGGACCATGTGGCTGACGGAGGCAGCTGACATTTTGCTTCATCTTGTGCTGTGAGTTTGGAGCAAAGAGACTTTCTCCTCCTATGCTGAGTTAGAGATCACAGGATAATTCAGGTGGGAAGGGACCTTAGCAGTTCTCTATGTGGGCACAGTCAACTCTGAGATCAGACCAGGTTGCTCAGGGCTTGCTCAGGGCTTGCTCCAGCCACATCTTGAAAACCTCTAAGGTGGGAGACTTCATAGCATCTCTGGACCCCTGCTTCAGTGCTTGACTGTCCTCATGAGGAAGAGGTTTTTCCTTATCTAGTCTGAATATGTCTTTATAGTTAATACCCATTCTCCCTCATCCTCCCACTGAGCACTATTGTTAAGAGCCTGGCTCTGTCTTCTGAAATAACTTCCTTGTAGGTACTGACAGATTGCTATGAGGTCCCCCTGAAACAGTCTCTTTTCCAAACTGAACAAGCCTCTCTACCTCTGCCTTTTCTTACAGGACAAGTGCGTCTAGCCCTGAGTACCTTGGTGGTCCTTTACTGAATTCCCACTAATTTGTCCATGTCTTTTCTCTGTTGGGGGTGGAAACTGCAAGCAGTACTACTTCATGGGGACTGACAAGTACTGGTATAAAGGGATAATCCCTTCCCTTGATCTGCTGGCTGTGTTCTAATACAGTGTAGGATGCTGCTAGCTGCCTTTCTGCCAGTGCGCACAATGTTCAATGTGCTGTCTACCAAGATGCCCAGGTTCTTTTCAGGTGAAGAGTGGGAGAACCAAGGATGATCCTGGGGGCACTTGGGCAGAGCCTTAGGGTGCCCTAATACATGTTTCAATCTGCTGCCTTGGCAGAGACACTGCAGAGGTGTTTCCCCTGGAGGGATGGACTACAGCCTCCTCGTAAATCTTAAGTGATACCATGCAAGCCCCAGATGCTAGAGTTTGGTATCCACAGAGAGTCTCAGCTTTGAGGTGGGTCAGGAATGAAGATCCTGGACTCTAGAAACCAGGTTGTAGGGA